GTGTGTGTGTGTGTGTGTGTGTGCGTGCGTGTGTGTTTCAACATATCGTACAATAATATACAAAACTATATACAGTGGCAAGGGAGCGGGGTTGAATATGTGATAGAAAAAAATGAGAAATGAGAAAGAAAAAGAAAGAGAGGCAGAGCAAAGGCAACCCGCCTTTTTAATTGTCTACATAGTGTAGACTGGATCCCTGAACATTTATAAGTACACTTTTTTAAAAGTGTTCCTCTCTCCCCAGGCGTGTTCATAGTCGGTCTGTTTGGCGTGTGCGTTGCGGCGTTGCTGTTTTTCTGTAAAAAGATCTACTGGTGCATCAAAAACGCCATTCTGAAGCGGTTGAGACGAGACCTGAAGGCTGAAGAGAATCACGCGGCAGTCAAGGCGAACGAGGAGGCGTTGAAGGAGAGACAAAAGCTGTTTGAGGGGGACAGGGGGGAGGCCGTGTGAAGGAAGGAGAAGTGGAAAGACTGAGAAAATTGCGTGTACGAGAGTGTCGAAAACAAGAACAGGTAGAGAAATGCCAAAGGTAAGGAAGTAAACTCTCAGCTGTCAAGATTCAAATACAAAAAGTCCAAAGTTTTCTATCAACCGAGCTCTCAGGAATTTGATGTGCAGTCAAGTACCTCGGCATCAGAAGCAAGTTCCTTTCGTTATTAATTTTCTTAATTAAAACTTTTACCAGGAATTCAAGACCACGGACTCATATTTCGAAACTATGATAAGTACTTGTAATTAGACTTATCAAAATTGTCGTCTCACTTTTCTCTCACTTTCCAATAGTCCCATGTTTGTCTGAAAACAAGGATTGCAAACTTTGTAACCTGAATTTATTCTCTCTTGCACTTGCTGTTGATTAACTGTTGGTATTTGTCTGTTGGGAAATAGACTGTTCAGATGGAAAACCCATGAGGGAAGTGTAGGAATGTATGATGAAGCAACAGCAGGAACCGAAGTGTGTGCTGAAGCGTTTAGGCGCTTCACTGTTACATGAAACAGATTGGCGTTCGATACCCATATCGAAAGATTTGTTTTACGGAGTGTGTCCGTCTGTCTGCTGCCTCAGTCCAATTCGGACCTGACAGGCATGGTTGAAGCAGCCCGCCTCCTATATAATCCAAATTGTATCGATGGAGGCGCAAATAGATTTGCATTATTTTTAACAGCAAAGAATGTCAAATATATTATATGAGTAGTATCAGTGGGAGTGATCGTAGCTATTAGATGGCACTGTAGGAAAAAAGAAACGTTTTTGTGATGGTGAAAACTGCAGGGAGAACAGGGGCTCCTAGTCTACATGCAAGGAACCTGCTTGCTGGGCCCAAATCATTGATAATACTACAATCCGGATATCCGAAGAAATCTGATTAACCTATGTTTTGTTAGGATTAACAGGGGAAAAAAATAATTTGGGTGGCATGGTAGCCCAATACTGGACCCGTAATCGTGAGATTGAGGGTTCAAGCCTCAGCTCGGTCCGACGTCGTGCCTTTGGGAAAGGTACTTTACACGAAATTCCTGTTTGGCGAGGTCCTTTCGGACATGGAAGTTAAAATCAGAAGCCCTGCCTCTTAAATAACCTACTGGTGTTGATAGGGGCGTTAAACCTATATCATTTTACCATTTCACCAAAGCAATTTGAGTGACTTGTTTACAGAAGCTGATCTTCTCGCTAGGATTTGGTAATAGATGGGTATTAGGCTTTTGGCACTGAGGTTTCGTCATATCTAAGTTTTACTGTGTCCTTGTGGATAAATTTTAATGTGCATCTGTTGGTCAATACCAATATAAAAAGTACTGACCCTTTTGTAAAACTATGACTGTATTGAAATTAAAACGGGACTATATTGAAATCATGCTGTGACTTTATTAGAATTATTAAGGGACTATAGTGAAAATTATTCAGGGATGGGACTACATTGAAACTTCCTTGGGGAAAAATTGAAATCATATGGGACTGTACTGAAATTATTATGGGACTGTTTTGAAACTTAAAGGGAATATATTGAAGTTTTAAGTAGATTAAATTTTAATTATTTTGGACGATGATATTGAAATGATGGTGGGACTATATCGAAATCGTCATGGGAATACAATGAAATTACTATGGGGGCTATTATTTCCTGACTGATGATTCATAGCAGGCTCATACATAAGCTGCACTTGACTTTATAGAAGTGGTGAATGTACTATTGAAATTGTCCAAGACGACCACCCATTGTCGAGGGAAAAGTGGTTATCTTAGGCAGGTTGATGTCTTGGACATTGTTATTGTAATGATAAAAAAAAAAATGCAAAGTGAAACGTGAGGAGTGGTCGTTTTTTACAAGTGGTTGTCTTGGATATGAGATCGTTAGAGCAGGTTCGACTGTACATTACTGTCTTGGTATGAAGTTTTGTATATTATATTATATTCGTATGTTAGCTGTCTTTTAGTTTCTGTTTGTGAGCTGTATATCCGGGGTTCTTTTAATATTACGGTTGCTTGACGGTTTGTTTGATGAATAGGCAGTCCGCCTAGTAACCGTAAGATAGTGGTTTTGCAACCTTTCCATGTTAAAACTTGTGTAACTGAGAAAACCACTTTACGCGAATACTCCCTGCTTCACCCAGGTGGGAATGAGTACCTGGCTAAAAATATTGAAAGATAGTATTATTATGCTGGTGTTTGAGCGCCCATACATATACAGTATCAGTTTGCACCGAATGCTTCCGGGTACCTGAGATTGGGTCAGAAAATGAAAAGGTATGTAGGAGTAATAATACTTTATAGATTGCACAGGACTTTCTCTTGAGCTAAGTGATATCTTGTTCTGACTCAGAGTTCCAACTACTTGTAGAGAGTTTTGTCACAGTTTGTCACCTTACAATTACAAAGATCTATCTGGCATATTTGACTGTTTTGAGTTACTAAGACAATGAGGTCAAAAGCCTAATGTTCCATTTGATGCTCTATCAAAATCGTAAGATTATTCGAAGTTGTAATTGAGATATTCAACGAATTGCGTTAAAAAAAGCTTGACATGTTGTGAAACTCAAAATCATGCAAGTCAAATTTCTCTAAAATAGGTACTGAGCAGATAGAACTTAGTAATTCTAGAGTTGCTAGTTGCTAAGGCTGTTGAAAAATATCCTCTTTGAATCAAACTTCATTATGTTTAATTCTCGGGTTGGGCAGAATACCAGCTCTATGTTGTACCAACTACCATTTTTGCATCTGGAATTTAGTGTTTTCATGGCTGTTTACGTCAAAGGCGGGAAAATGGAATATATGCGAGATAGCATAAAGCTGGTGTACTTTTGAAAATGGATGAGCGAAATAATCATTATACTTATAGGGCTCAATGAAAAGACGGAATGTGCTACATCATGTGAACAAGTAAGCCGACTCAAGGAGAATTTATCTCGTTCAAGGTATCTATAAAACCTGTGGCTCATCGTTATTTTATTATTTTGTATTTATACATTCAACTTAGGTAGGTTCACTCTTTTCAATACTTTGAGAACTCTGTACCCAAACTGTATCCAGCGACTATGGAGTAATGAATATTCTTGGCCGTCGCGCGCAGAAGACAGGTGTTAGATTCTCGTGCAGAGAAAAAAGGGGAAAAAGGGGGGGGGGGGGTGTAATTGAGTTAGGGCGTTGTATCTCTATCAGTCTGAGCATGCCCTGACAGGCAAGGATCGATGCAAGGCACCTCCTTTGTTATCTAAATAACGTCGATTTTTAGGGCGTAAAACACCCACAGTTATATATATTATAGTGATTCGACTGTATTCTTTTGCTATGATACACCCTACTATGGTAGGCTTATTTCACTTTGAATACTTTAAGAAATAATATGTAGCCTAAACGACCTGTAACTTGAAACGGTGTGTCACATTTTGTTTCTCCATTGAGCTCTTCTTGTGCGATATATCATTATCATTATTGTTATTAGTGCTATCATTTCTTGTGAGGGTATCTGTTAACATGATAAATCTAGACTTCCACTGTTGTTTGTGCACGTAAGAAGATTGACTGTGTTAAAAACCCATCACTGTTCCATTGATAAAGTTCGTACCATGCATAGTAACATGTTTCTCACACTTTTACTCACAGATCATGTGATTTTCATGTTTGCTGTCGCGAAACGAATGGTTATTGTTCAAACCAGGAAAATGTTAGTCATAAGAATTGATGATAATTGTGTGAATTGCTTGCGCATGCCTGTGTTTGTATTTTATTCAATAAATGTATTTTTCTTTGCTCTTGCAGGGTTCCCACCTGCGTTTGTGGTATAGCGTTTAGGCACTGCACCCTCGTTTGCAGAAGATTTGAGTTCGATTCACTTAAGGAAAGGGGGTTTTTATGGTGGGTTTCTGTTTATCTGTTGGAACAAATCTGCCATTTCATCTTATGTTGGGCCTGACTGGCAAGATCAAAGCAGCCCGTCTCCTAAATAACCTAAATGGTATCGATAGGGCCGTAAAACATCTACAAGTCAAAAACAGTATCTTACCGTGCCCGTGTCAGGTGCTGAAGCTTTGACGGCCGGTCCAAGAGTAAAACAAACACCTTTCAAAACGAAACATTCAAAAACACAACTTTTCAAAACACATGGTTATGTGTTGGGTTTTTTCAAAGATACAGACTAAAGGGGCTGCTTATAATTCATAGTCAAGCCCAACCCCACCCCCACCGCTTCTCCCAACCCCATTTATGCAGGCTCTCATCTACCATAGCTTTACAATGACTCTCTTAGCTAGCTTGTTCATTCAAATTAACCGTTTCGTCTCCCCCCCTTCCTTCAATCACCATCTTTGTTGGGGAGCACACAGCGTCGCAGCATCTTAGGAAGTAGGTGCACGCTCTTATAAATTAAAACAAAAATTAAAGAAAATGCTTTACTGCGTGTAACCAACAAGACTAAAGAAATAATAATTGTGACAAGAGGCCATAGATATATACCGTACCCCTAGACCGCGCGCTGTCATAGCTGCCGCTCTTAGCTATGGAAAAAAAAAAGTCTGCGAAGGGTGGACACAGTTGGGCCTCATCATTACGCTCAAATGACTGAGAAGCAAAACGCGAGCTTTGCTATCGTCTAATTTGCGCTGAACCCCTCCCGCACCCCTCCCCCTTTTCCCCCTATGTTCTTCCTTAGGCTCAAATGGTGCGTTCCATAGTGAACCGAGCATATGTCAGGGTGCATGGTATAGTCTACGCCATACCGTTACTTAAGAATGGCAAAGTTCTTTCTAATTTTTCTTTCTGTTCTTTTCCGTTTTTAGATATAAAGACCATAAGGTCAAAAACCAAAATGTGCTATCTGTTCTATCGATATCGTAAAATTATTTAGAGTCGTTATCGAGACTTTCAAAGAATTGCACTCGAAAAAGCTTGTCATGTTGAGAAAGTCAACCTCTTGTACGTCAAATTTCTCAAAACTAGGTACTGGGCAGATAGAACTTTGTAAATCTATGGTAGCGATATTTTAATGCAAGTCTGTGCAGAAGGCTGAGAATACACTGTTCTAAGCTATCTATATGTGATCATTTCTAAAGATGTGCACAAGTTTTTCCTCTATCGGACCGGGGTCGGTGGTGTAGCGGTTATCCTCCTCGAATTCGAGTTCCGAGTAGGGGGAGATTTTTATTGACTACCTCTGTCTACTTGCTGGGGTTCGGAAGCTCACACAGCCCTGGTTGGCCCTAGAAAGTCGAAGCAGCGCGTCTCTTAAATGATCTATGCTGTGTCTGTTGTTGGCTTAAAGCACTTTGTCGGCAAGCTGAATGTCCTTAACCCTGAAAGCAGTTTTTTTAGGAGATTTCAAAATAAAACGTTCCAATTCCTTTACAAGTTGAACCTTCCTTATGAGTCTTTTCTTGATTTTTCAACATTTAGAATTTTGATTTTGACCAAGTATTTCACGGATATATTCAAACGATACCACAGATTAAGAAACTGCAATAAGCTTCTTTTTTTTTGTTCTCAAAATTTCGGGCTAAGGACATTTGAACTGTTGGCCAGCGACGTGAAGCCATCAGGGACAAAAACTGCAGAGTTACATTTCGTATTATTTCGAGTTATGGCCCATGGATGTTTAAACATAAACTCGCTACTCGTAAACAATAAGGATAATCGAGCAACAGCAAGGTCCGTGTGTAAATGAAGGGGAAAACAGTGGGTACAATTAATTTCCACCCCCCCCCCCCCACTCGGACATTCTAAAAATGAATTAAACGTAACGTGGCCCCGCTGAGAGTGGAGACCATGATTGTAGTAGGTTGAACAAGTTTACTTTGAATGACCTTTTTAAATCACTCTTCAGGCCATGAGGTTCGAAACTTCAAAACTAACATTTCTGAAAATCTCGTTAGTGTGACTGTCGTTTCCCCCCTGTAGTGTTCACTCCATAATCGAATTACAATTTATAGCGTATCACAACGCTATGGAATCAGGCGTTCGTCAGTTCTGCCAGTTTCTTTGATTTCATCATGTTGGCGAGCGCCTAATTTCACCACGATCCACACATTTTTTTTCTTCCACTCTGCCCGTCGTGTGGCGTTTATGTATGACTGTAGTATTTTCCCCTTTTTTTATTATGCGAACTCCAGTCGAGGGTAAAAGCAAATTTCGACCCTTCTTTCTTAAGCTAAGTTAAAAAAATCTTTCGCGTACGAAGTCACGGCGGTCTAAAGTGGTCTCACAGAGAGAGTGGAGAGCCACCTCAACCCCCCCCACCTCCCCCCAACCCAAGTTGCCTAATAGGTCAAGTCAGTTTCGAATGGGGAGCTCAAACTGATTTTTATAAAATTGTGAAGAGCTCTAACTATAAATGTAATATATAATAACAAAGATTTGACGTATGTACGTGTTTGAAAGGCCTCTCATCTCAATCATGATGCGCTAAAATAACATACTAAGGAGTAATGTCAATCACACCGGCCTCAGTGGTACAGCGGTTGGGCGTTTTGCCGTCGCATGCAGGAGACCTGAGTTCGATTCCCGAGTGGGGAAAATGTTTTATCGAGTTTCTGGGTCTTTCTGCTGGAATGTTGCATCCCTCTCCGCCCGGGTTGGTCCTGACAAGAAGGTTCGAAGCTCACCTCCTAAATTATCTAAATTGTATCGATGGGGGTGTAAAAACACTTACATCTACAATTACAATCATGATTATGTTTGTCTCCCTTTGCATCTTCACGTAGACAAGACTTTTATGGAGCTTTTTCTCTGTCTGAATTTTTCTGGGTTATAGTGCGGATGGCTCTGGTTCGAATACCTTCTTGGGCAGCCTTGAACTTGGATTGTTTGGGGAGTCTGTAAGACTCTCCATGTACAATCCTCGGTGTCAACAGAGATAGGTGTTAAATTCGGAAGCTCAGCCTTGTAAAGCAACCTTATCGTTAAAAGGGGCCATACACTTTCCCTCTCTCTCTCTCTATCTCTCTCTCTCTTTCTCTCTCTCTTCTCTCTCTCTCCTCTCTCTCTCTTTCTCTCTC